TGGCGGGTCCGGGCTGGGGATTCGAACCTGCCACCTTAGGTGTACGTGGCTGGCGCCTTAGCCGGTTGAGCCATAGGCCCGAGCCAACAGCAATTCTTAATAACAACTCTAAATAAAATAGGAATGGAAAGACATAATAAAACCCATAAATCAAGAATAAATACTATATTAAACAGCAAAGCTCTAGAGTCATTGTCACTTAAAATCAGGAACTAGTGAATTTGTCAGCAATCACTATTATAATTTAATATTTGCTTGGCAGTTTTAGCAAATGATGTATCACAAAAAACCTGATATGAACTGTGGAAGAGAAAGAACTATTTTGTTGGTATCATTGTGTAAAGATGTCAAAAAAATTCTCAGAAACCTTAGTAAAAAATCTACTAGAATTAAGATAATTTAGTTTTATTTCTATATTAATAAGTTCCTATATATGGAAAAGGGAAATAATTCCATACATGACAGGGATAAAATTATGAAATAGCTGGGAATAAATTTTGAATGAAAGGCACAGAAAATTGTAAGATCTTAATGAAAAATCTAAAATCAAACAAATGCAAAGTCATGTCATATTCTTGGATGAAAAAATTCACTATACTAAAAAAGCAAAATCACTCAAAGTTAATATATAAACTTAATTCAATTCCAAATAGCATCCAACAGGAAGTTACCAAGAGCATCCGGATAAATAGAGCTTAATATTCATATAAAAATTAAAAATGGGTTCTTATTTTGTTAAATGCATAATTGCCATTCAAGTGGATGAAAAGTATAAAAAGCTCTGAAAAAAATCTATGAGGCTGTATATATGTCTAGAAGTTGGGAGAACTTCTTTTCAAGGAAGGAAATATAGAAGCTATAAACAAAAGGATACATGTATTTAACAAGTAAAAGCTTGCAACTTTTTATATGGCCAATATATTAAAAAGTTACAAACCACAAAATTTAAAAAGTATTGATTAACAAGAAAAAGACAAGTAACCCAACACAAAAATGAGGAAAGAGTACACCTAGTTCTTCAGTATACGCTGCCACAAAATATACAAAATTATGCTTACCTATAGTCAATAAGATGCAAATTTAAGTACTACTAAGAAATTATAACCACCAGACTCACAAAAAATGTAAAAATCAGTAACACTTATTGCTGGTAAAACTGAAGAGAAAAAAGCTACTCTTTTTTAGAGATGGTAGAAATATGATTTGGCGTAGCTATTAAAATTAAACACATATTCTTTGAATCAGCAATGCCACTGGTAGGAATCTATTCTAAGATATATGTATAAAGATTTTTCTTAGAGTATTGTTTGTTTGGGCAAAAATTGGGAAACAAAGTTGAATAAATTATGGGTGAATTAATTATGAAAGGTAGTTTAATAAATTTTGATGTATCATTAAGCCCTTATAAAGAATGAAATAGAATGAAACCATTAGACTTGGAACAATTTCAAGGGATATTGTTCAATGAACAAAAACAAGACACAGAGAAGTATGTATAATAAGATCCAATTTTCTCTCTCTCTCTCTCTCTTTTTTTTTTTTAAATTTTATTTTAGCAGGCTCCGGCTGGGTTCAAACCCGCACCCCTGGCGCACAGGACTGGCGCTCCATTGAGCTATGGGCACCCAGCCAAGATCCAATTTTCTAAAAAATGATAAAATCCAAAAATAGGCACTATATAACTACATATATATATATATATGAAAAAGTACAAATGACACATCCCCAAGTGGTTAACATGTACTTCTCGTGGATGGAGTATGACATGGTAGAGAATTACAGGAAAGGGGGAGAAGTGAAGTGAGCAACAAGAAAGATTGTACTAAAAATACCAGCAGGTAAGTTATGATTCACTTTATTACAAATGTGTGCATTTTACATGAGTATTTACTTTTTCTAAGAAACTAGGAAAATTAAAAGGTGTTTACCTACTGACTTATAGAAATAGATATCCATGATATACAGGGAAAAGGCAGTTTGGGAATAATGTATATATTTTATTTTATGTTTATTTCTGTAAAAGAACACTCACCCATCCACTCTACATGTGTGCACAGCAAGGACAAAGTTATAAAATACTACAATAAACACTAGTTTGTTAGCACTGGATATCTCTGGAGTCCAAACTGGGATTGGGCTGATCATTAGCTTCTTCGTTATACAGCTGTGTATTCTATCCTCTCCCCGCCTCCCCTCCACCCCACAAGAAATAAGTGAACAAAGCCAAAAGCCTACAGGAGCCAGAATGCAGTAGGCTTGATGCCGGCCCTGATGACTCAGAATATAAACCTAAAAACATTCAGGTTGAAACTAAACAAAATGCAAATCCTATTTTGTAAACAAACAAACAAACAAAAAAAGACACTTATGGGGGCAGGTTGTGTTTTAACTTTTTGTGTGTCCAGTATTTAGAAATAAAATGGCTTAGGTGACACAGAACTTTTTTTTGAGACGGAGCCTCAAGCTATCCCCTTGGGTAGAGTGCCATGGCATCACAGCTCACAGCAACCTCCAACTCCTGGGCTCAAGCGAGTCTCCTGCCTCAGCCTCCCAAGTAGCTGGGACCACAGGTGCCCACCACAACGCCTGGCCATTTTTTGGTTGCAGCCATCATTGTTGTTTGGCGGGCCCGGGCTGGGGATTCGAACCCGCCACCTCAGGTGTATGTGGCTGGCGCCTTAGCTGCTTGAGCCACAGGCGCCGAGCCAGAACTTTTTATGGAACAGACAGGGAAATGATATACATGTTACTTTATATCCATCTGCACTCCAGTCACAGGGTCCATAACCCTGACCAGAGAAGAGAGAATGCTTCCAGCATGTGCCTGCTCTGTAGATGCTAACATATAGACCATTGTACATAATATCACGGGAACGGAGGATGGTACTTTAAGAAGGGAATGTGGAGAATGCCTGCTTCAACTCCCTCATTTTATAGCTGAAGAAACTGAGGCCTGGTTAAGCATTACCACACTCACCTCTTATCCTCTCTATTCCTCAAATGGTGGAAAATTATTTTAGCAGTTCTTCTCGGAGCAAATACATGATAAGCAAGTAACAATGATATTTCATTTGTTCAATAAATAAAAATTCTCATGTAAAGGTCCACTCTCAATTGTTACATCAAACAATGACAATGTGAAGCTCATTAATGCCGCCAAGGGGGAGGGCCTGTTTAAGTTGCCCTGTGCAGACTTGCAGAGCCACGGGTTATAACCAGACGTTCTTATCCTCAATCATTCATTTATTCAGCCCTCTTTTTAATCAACCAACACTCAGTGAACACTTTCTTTATACCTGATGTTGTGAGGTGTTGGTGAAACAAACATAAACAGGGCATGGTCCCCACTTGCCATTCCCTGGGAAAGTGACAAGCTACAAATCAATTCAGACCAAAGAAACGGCGAGTGGGAGGAGGAATGCAGCTGACTAGGGCTTCAGGGGTGGCTTCTTTGAGGGGAAAGTTAACCCCTGAATTGAGCCACGTAGGATGTAGGACTTCAGAGGCAACAGCAAGGAAACACGTGTTTGCCATGTTTGGGGTAATGACCGGAACTGAGCCCAACCCAAGGGAGAAAACTACAAATAACAAATGGTCCAGCCTGAGGATAAAAATAATTCAACTGAAGTGCAAGAAAATCTGCCACCCAGCTCCTGCGTGTCTGAAATATTGCAGTGCTCAGTAAATGATGTCTAGGTAAATCATGACCAACTAAGCAATCTCGTCGTTCAATTTATTGGATGATTTCAGAATATTACCATATAAGGTCCAGGGTCTATATCTCCCATCATTCCTTTTAGATGTGTGTTTTCAGTTCTGGCAGCTTTAAATCTCGTATCTGAAACCTGAAAGATTAGTATATAAAAAGACAATGTAAAATTTATAATAAACTCAAAATTCTATTAAAATTTTGTTTCATGAATACAAATATTTTCTTTTCTTTTTCTTGGAGACAAAGAGTCTCTCTCTGTTGTGCCGGCTAGGGTCCAGTGGTGTCATCACAGCTCACTACAACCTCCAACTCCTGGGCTCCCGGGATCCTCCTGCCTCAGACCCCCAAGTAGCTGGGACTATAGGCACCCACCACAAAACCCAGCCAGTTTTTCTATTTTTTGTAGAGTTGGGGTCTTGGGGGGTCTCGCTCTGGCTCTGGCTGGTCTCAAACTCCTGACCTCAAGCAATCCTCCCACTCCAGCTTCCCAGAGTAATATGGTTATAGGTGTGAACTAGCACACCCAGCCAAATACTGGTATTCTCTTTTTGCTTTTCATTTTTCCGGTATTTTCTAAGTGTAGTGAAGGGAAACCCTTCTGAGCTCTGATCATTATCGGTCAGGGGTTCTCATTCAGTGCTCCTGCCTGTGGCAGGCTCCACTTTACCCTCCTTTTCTGATCAATGCTAAATTAAAAGCAGTTACTTCCAGTAATATTTCATTTACTTTTTTCCTTTCAATTCTAAAATTCTATTTCTCCTTTCTATTATATGCAAATTAATATTTCTATTTTCTGTTACATGCAAATTATTACCAGGAAAATCGCAATTTTCACAATATGCGTGATAACACTCTCCACTAAGTTTCTACATCTGATTTTTATAATTACAATATATGAGTTCATGTTTAATTAGATTATGTTTCTGCCAAATTTCTGCCTTTTTTTTGGTGACTACTTCATTTTATTTCCTAATTTATTTTTCTCTTTTCCTGATTTCTTCTACCTGAACAGCACTTGGATGTAGTATTTGTCCTTTTATTTATCTAGGGTTAATTTCTATATAAAACACTTAAGATTTACTTTTGAAAATTATAAACTAAATGCTCACTGCAAAAAATAGAAAATGTATAAATATATAAAGGTGAATGTAAAAATCATTCATAATCCAACTACCCAGGGTACCATTAACACCTGTGAAATATCCTTCCCTGTTCAGATGTAACCAATGCAATCATCCCATCTGTGCTGCTGTCCTGTGCATTCTACAAATCAATCACTGTTTAAGGCTTGTGATGGGCAAAGGCTGACTCTTTCGTTTTTATAACACATAGGATTTAAATAGTTACGCTACTTGTGGAGTGACCCTCATCGGCCTATAAAGTTAATGAACGGCACTCTCAAGACCTCTAGATTTGGGGTATTAGGACAGGTACGTCCTTTGCTTGCAAAAGTAGGCTACCAATTTAGTCATAAGGGACTGAGGGAATTTAAAAAATAAACAGGAGGGAAGAAAGGGCAGAAGAATTACTTGCGGTATTTTAAAGTAGAATGTTACAATTGCTGTTTCTCCACCTGCCCTGTTGTGGATTGAGTGCATGTTTAGTAAACATGAACTGATTTCATGTTTCAACATCTTTTTTTTTTTTTTT